TGCAGTATGTAATGAGCGGCGTGGCCAGCGTGGTGGACTGAGTTGGAAGGTCCTGATTTATGGCTCTGGCTTGTGATTGGTCAATAAAGCCTGTTCTGTTGTACCGGTCTTTTACCTATTAGGGCTCGGGTATTCCACAAATTTATAGATGCAGAACGCAAATATATTGGACCGCGTCGGCTCAGCTAATCATTTGTCTTTATGTTTCTTATTAGCATGAAAGGAAGGTTTGCAGCAAACGAGAGACAGAAAGTATGAAGTGTAATATAGAATGAGCATTGTAGCCAGCCAGGCGCCCTAGAATATTCGGTGGCTGCCGATTAGTTCTTGCTTGCGTTAAGTCAATAAAGTCTGCTCTGTTGTTCCAGTCTTCGTCGTACTAGGGCTCCGGTATTCTACACAGAAACAGAGTGGGACACAGACCTATATTGTACAACGGCCAGCTCAGCCAATCCTGTCACTGTGCGTTCAAATAGTGCATCACAACGTTAAAATATCTTCAAAAATGTCACCCTTTAGCATCTGAAAGCCTTGAAAATGTTAATTTAAAACTAAACCAGCATTGCAAAATTTACACAATTGTGTCACTTTATGCAATATTCATGTAAGCAACCAAACCTTATTGCGAATTGTCAAATGGGCATGCTTGTTGTATCCTAGAAGTATGCAAGATATTCCTTATGGAAAATGCTTTCTCTCTTATTGGACATTGCCTTTAATTGCATTTATAATAAAAATTCAAACTTTTCGACCATTTTTGATTGGGAAAGGCTAAATGGGTCTGCGATGGGACAAAGTATCTACATTAAAAATAACAGGCTGCGATTCATTTTACTGGGTAAGTCGGCCTAACTATCCGCTTTCCATTTCTAATAAATCTAGTGAATAATAGGGAGGCAATCAGCTCACCAATATTGGACTGCATATTTTATCTACCAAGTCAAACAAAGTTCAGAATAATATCACCGCCTAAATGTTATTAAGACTGCACTGTGTGTTCTTGTACCAAAATGGTATCTAATGTACAATAATTATTTTATGTTTTGCACGACCATTAAAATTACTCTTTAACATATTGGGTGATGACTGCAAACACCCTAACATTGGCAGACCATGTATATGTTCTTGTTTATTTCGGCATGATCAATGGAAACATGCAGTAACAGGGTGAGTTAAAGAAGTCATATAGCAGACATGATGTGTTAAATCATTTTCAGCCATATCTAACGCTTGAAAGAGCATTAGATTTTTCGATCTTTCAACACACTTCCAAAGGTTTCGAATGGATTTCGAGCAAATACAAAGACTAATTACTAGGCTTAATGAGAATGGTATTTACAATAAGTTAACGAATGTTAGAGGTTATCTGGTAGAGAAAAGGCTTGATTATTACAGCCCTGGCTTTCGTGTACACAATTTTGCAGGAAATCGTCAGTAAAATTTAAATGTCAGACTTTATTTATATGTTGCATTATAATTTGATATTTATTTTGCGCCTCTAACGAGCGTTACTCAAATGAAACACTATTTTACATTGTCCTTAACGGTGAATGTCCACGTTTTTATACGCCTCGTGTTTGCCTTATATTGATTACTTGGTTTAATATCACAATACTTGCTATTCAAAATAACTCAAATATTTTGTTTTGAATAATCATCGTTACAACTCAAGGTCGGTTTGTCTCTCCAGCTTAAGAGCAGAGCTGATGTGGACATTAATTTGAACAAATCATGCGCTTGCCAAATATACGGTTATAAATTTAAGGCTGCTACAAAACCAATTAACCAAGTAATTAAACAAATGGATTTCGAATTACGCTTTGCAAAATTTATATAACTCTAAATAATGCATCCAGAAAGGGTTAAACATAAAGCGCCAGGTGAAAGCAAGTCAATCATTGTTTCAAGTAATCTTAGAATTAACCAGGTATTCAATATACTAAATCCAATTGTGGTGCAAAGTCAAATCACGCCGCTTTAGATGATTATATTCTACCGTTGAGTGTGTAATAAACGACAACAGAACTCGTCCAACGCATTTTCTGCAATTCTGCAAATGTAAAATGTTCGATGCTGCATAACACCGTACAATGGATGTACAATAAGAGGTCTTTGGTTTACAAAGGAAATTTTGTGAAAGATGTTTATACACAGTTGACTAAAACCACAGTTTGTAGGGTTAATTTGGCAAACAACCATTCTTAAAAATTCAGCTAGCAGATGCAAGCCGACGAAGCCGTTTTGACCTAGCTAAATTATACTTCCAAGCAAAATTTAATTCTAGATGTTAAAGAAGCCATTTAACAGCTAAGTTAATTGCCAGATTTCAATGACAGGGAGAAAACCTATGTAAAGATAATTTTTTAAAAATCTTGGAATAACATTCTGACATTGTCTATCTCTGTTCTCTGCGAAGAGATTACTCTACAAGCAGGGGAAACGTTTTTGCTTTATAATATATTATACTTGCTGATTTACAACGTCAAATGCTGATATTCGAACACTGAGTTTGCTGGTAAAAGATGATATATGTTAAAAAGTAACTTAATAGCGGTAATATAATGATCCTCTACGTTCATTCAATATGGAAAAATTAAGAACTGTTCAATGCATTCACTGGCGCATATTAATTATTCTGAAAATTTTTAATATTAAAAGACCTAACAATGAGAAGCGATACACCTAACCTACACACTGCTATTTGGGATTCTAATTAAGTTTATCGAAGGAATTTACCTTGTCTAATGGCAACCTGTAGGGGGTGAACAGTATAAAAAATGTTAACAACGAATTAAAAAAACGTGTGAAATAGGTCATAGCATGCTTTCTAATGGTATGGCTGAATTCTGAAGGCAGTTATTTTTGCACTATTAATGCGATGGTCATCACTAGGCAAAATGAATCGCCACAATATTTACATTTTGCCTCAATTTGCGCTTATCAGCTAATTAAAGCACTTTTCTTAAACTCACTGTTTCGGTGGCTGTCCGTCGACAGCTTCTGTCTACATTCATTCGTTGAGGCGACGTGACAAATTAACTCCATCTTGGCGCTTGGTTAATGGTCAAGGGCTAACAGCATGCGTTGCGGTACCACAACGGCATCATCTCATAATCACTAACAATAATTTCGGTTTCTTTGAACCGTGAAGGATTGAAAAAGTTTTTTAGGGAATAAAAATAAATCCGTTCATAAAATACCCGTCCATGTTGTGAAAGCACTGGACTATAGAACAGAGGAATCCGATACACTTAATTAATTTATCTAAAACTTTTTTGGCTTCTATAATTCAAACCGGGTTTTGTCATGACTCCATCAAAAATGAAATCCTTTTCCGAAATTCACATCATCCTAACTTAACTCATCAAGTTCCAGCAAAGTGAATGATGACAGAATGCCATAAAGTTAATGCTTACGGTTGAAATCATTTCCCGAGGAATATTTCGGATATTATAAAGCATATGTTTTTAAGCAAGACAAAAATATTAAAACAACAGACACTAAATAGTTAACATACAAAAAATTGGGAACAATCAAAAAAATTGATTTTTCAGAACATATTATGACCTGAAATCAAGGCCCAAAGCTTTGTGCAACAATATTGCACAAAGTAGGCCTAAAAAAGCCTCGCTAAAAAATTCCGTAATGTTTTTTTGAAGATTATGTTAATATAAATGTAATATTAACGAGGGCATGCCTTTAATTTTAGATTTTAGTCCATCACTAAATATTGTTGAGCTCCAGGATTGACAAACAATGAAATGTTCAACCTCCTTATCATTTAAAAAATTGATTAAGCATTCTAAGAATGAAATTTTTAGGCCTATAACGATAGTTACAATGGTTTTTTAGACTATATTTTTCGTGAATACCAAATGGCTTATTTAGTCTTCGTTTGCACGTAAGGTTATTCTTTACCTAGTAAAACTACTAAATCTATGACTTTTTTAACTTTTAAAATACATTTTTTAATAATTTCATTTCAAATTGTGACGATTATTACGTAGCAATGTGTTAATTATCGCAAAGATCATGTCACTACTTCTGGTTTCTGCAAATACTGTACTGACGAATGAACGTGTCGAATTTATTTGTGTTTTCACTGGTCTTTAGGTTTTGGATGCAGCATGGCTCCTCCAACGTTTATCACCTGTTCCGAATCTGAACAAGTAAGATTACATGTTCTTTGTTGTAATTATATTCAGATTGTGGAACTCAAAAGATTCTTAAAAAAAGCTGGTGTTGATAAAGTTGACAAATCTGAGGTCACTCAAGAAAATTGGCCTTCTGTTTTCATTAAGTGTATACCACTGTTGAGAGTGTGTTGGAAAAATGACAAAGTGACGGATACCGGTAAGAGTCTGGTTATTTCCACATGTCGGTATAGAGTCAGTCGATTTATTAACAACAGTTTCTTCACTCATCATTGTATTACCTCCTGCACATACAGAGGATGCAGTTAACAAGCTCTGTGACCTCTATGAAGACTTTTCTGAACCGAAAAACCGTAAACATATTGCCAAACTCTACTCGTACGTGCTGAATTTTATTCCTACATGGTTAGGTTAAACGTTTTGTTTTCCGGTTTACCGGAGGAACACCACGCCCGTTACCGTATTTATCGTGCTCTGGTATCCTGTGCCACCGAATTAGGAGCGCTGTCACAAATCTACACTCAAACAGAAAAGGTTTGAAATTAATATCCTCATTTTTAAGGTTGCAAGTATTTTGAAGGTATGTGGTTGCTCACCTGCGGAATGTCAAAACCTCTGGAGACAAATGTACGAAGTACACCAAGCCAGTGGAAATACAAAACTAGCGACACAAGCAATGATTAACTTACTTTCTACGTATTCGGATGGTGGTGCAGCGGGTGCTCGCGAGGATGCCTTCAAGTATGCCAACCTTGATTATAGATTAACGTCAGGTGTATTCTGGCTGCCATTCAGGACCCCAGTTTCCTTTCACACAATCGCCTAATTACACTGAAGCCTGTGCAATATCTTGAGGGTGAACCAGTCCATAAGGTTTGTACTGCTTTTCTCTTTATGTTTCTTTCATAGCTTTTGGAAATTTACGTCTCTGGTGGACTCTCCGACTTCGCATCTTTTATAAAAAAGCACCCCAAGTTTTTAGCCGAACATGGTCTCAACGAGAAAGCTTGTCTTGATAAACTCAGAACTCTCAGTTTGATGGAGATTGCTGAAAATGTAGCAGAGTTGGATTATGAAACTGTCTGTTGCAAAATAGACTTGCCTGAGGACCAACTTGAAGCTTTCATCATCGAGGGTAATTACTTTATTTATAACTGAAATGTCGTTCTCCCTCTTTATGCTCTCCACAAGTCGAGTTTGTTACTGTAATACCAGTGAGACTCTACTTTATCACATTAGTCTCATAATAGGGATTTTAGCGAAATTTAATGTTGTCTACTAAAAGCACTAAACATAACTACTGGTGCTGCTTAATGCCGAAACCGAAGCTCTGTTAGGTCTCTCCAGCCCTGTCATTCACAACCACAGACTGCATTTATGGTGGGTATTCTCGTCTTTTGACAAGCTTACTTATCGTAACTTTTTTTCATCATTGATACTTTCGTTTCCAGAAGCCTTTCAGCAATCTGCTCACAAACATGTTAAAAAAGTTTTATCATTTCCTCATTCCACTTAACACAGCGCAGTATTTCAGTGATTCACGTAACTTCATTCATATGTTGCCGTAGTTTTTTTTCGTAGTTTCGTCCAATTTAAAAAATCTAATACCCTTTTTTTGGAAGTGTATTTTCCCAGAATCACGACGTATTTAATACACAGTGCTCCTAAGTCTTTCAATGGATTCCACGGGCTTTCCTGCCATCCCTTGTTTGATTTGCACTTTTGTCTTCCTTTAGCTGTTCGCCAACGTGTAATTACTTGTAAGCTGGATCAAATTCACAGACGGATTCTGATCACTGGCGCACTTCCACGCAACTTTGGTCGTCCCCAGTGGCAAAGTCTCTACAGTACCTTAAAGGAATGGGAAACGGGTCTCCGTGTAGTCCAAAACAGCTTGAGGACAATGATCGGAACTGCTGTTCAATAACTGAGTACTTGTGTAATTCGCGGTCAACGTTTACGTCCATATATTGGTGAACAGGGATTGTGGTAATCTGTGTTGGTTTATACCAATATCGAGTAATCTAACTAGTTCAGTGTGCTCCACTGTTCCTAGTTTCCAGCTCGCCACGAAGTCATATTTGGGAAGGGGAACACCATGCAACACCAACAGGTTGAGCTATAGCCCTTATCATAGGTTCTTCCATTATTTCTTTATGCGGTCTCATCTCTTCACTGAGGTAGCGTAGTAAACTTTTGAGAATGTGTCTTCAGCAAATTGATGAAGAGCATAAACAATATTTAGTACACGTTTAAACAATGCCGTGGTTTCAATTGATCTGGGGCACACTCTATGACACAAATTTGGTTCTGGAAATACCTTAGTTTGTTTATAGCTTGTGTCTAATTTTTATGTAAACAAGAGCCACAATCTTGTAGGGATCAGATTTAATTTTAAGTGACCCCTATATTTGAGTCGACTTTCAGTGCCAATTAGTTCAATGTCCAATTTCGGACAATTTCAATGAAATTATGGACCACAAAACACTAGTTCTTCTAGTGCTCACTCGAGACACACAGCGTACATATCTCCTGGTTATTATCCCATTCTGTATCTATTCTCACCATGTGTTGCACTCCATGGTGAATGCGATAGTAAAAATCATTGTCTGCTAATTTTAATTTATGCTAATAGCTTTAGTTCCGGTCATTCTGTAGTAAAGTGCAAATTTTGTGTGGCGTCTCATTCATCGGAACTTACCATAAGCTCACACAATGGGAGGATCTAGCAACCACCTAGGAGTGTTGAGTTTTTCCTTAAAAGCACATCAACGTCAGAATTAGGCCGATGTATATTTTATAAAGGGATTGTGACCCAACTATGACTCAGAGCGAATAAACAACGGACATTGTAAATGGGAAACACTAAAGAATAATCTGAAGAGGAACCAAAGAGTTGTGATAGATTGCGTTTATGATCACGTGAGATTACAACGCGGGCGTGTTTTTGAGGGATATGGGATGGGCTGTCATATTTTTTAGCCATTGTTTCGGGGATTTAATCAAGAGATGCAAAGCCCCTCTCATTAGCTCTCTGGGGCTCCAATCTGCGGTAGTCATGCCTGTGGACGATGTAGAAAATGATTCCGCCAAAAACAACTATAAAGATCCCCATAAAGTTGGATAGCATTGAGGCGATCGGCAAATTCGAGTACCTAGAATTGGCGTAATAGTTGTTCGAACAAAAAAGCAATATGTTTGTGAACGCACACTTATACACGCCTAGGGAGGTAACAACAGTGTTTTACAACATTTAGTCTTACTCTCGTCTAAACGGGAAATCATCCGTCGAAACGCTATGGGACTGAGGCCTGCTGCAAAAAAGCATGTAATAAGCCTATACGTACTAGACAATCGAGGTAGTAAATCAGTATTGCTATGCTGTAGATACTTTTGAAAGAACTAAGTTATTACATCAAAGAAGAAATTCCCATAATTAACGGATAACTCACTCGCCACCGAAGAAGTTCTTTTCAGTGATGCCGGATATGCACGCAGCAATAGCGCAGCAGAAGAGAAAAAGGCCCATTGATGTGTGTAGGGGTAGAATCGTGGCTCTCAATCTCAAAGGTATTGATGGAACCAGGAAGGTTACTAGACCAATAACCCACTAAAACGGCAGTAAATTGTTAAGATTTAACGGCAAAGGAGGGTTCACGAATTGCATGTGCTCTTAAACGCAGGAGGCATTATCTACACATTGATTATAAGGGAATGGAGTCGTCTAAATTATCAAAGAAACAGAAAACTAGGATCTGAAAGGGTTACCTCGTGCTTTACGTTACCTGCAGCGAGAACAGGATAATAGTGACCAGTCCAATCCAGCTATGGAGGCTGTACATATTGGGGATGGCGCGAAGATTGTGAGAATCAAATGCAGACTTCAGTCCAACCACAGAAAAAAGGAGGCTTAGCAGCATTAAAACAGCGTGGACTGCCTTGAGGGGAAGTTTTGGCAGGAAGCGGAAAACACGATAGATCAGCATCGCTAAAACGGTGAAATTAGGTACTCAGAAGCAGTGTCTAGAGATAGCTCATTGGGAGTTTGTGCTTTAAATGAAGGTGCCGCGAAAGCCCAAATCGTGTGGAGGATGAGTTGGGGTGACAGCATGCGATAGGAAACAGGCCCCTGGTTCCTACCTAAGACAAACGTTTGTGGTTGTACTGGTGGTAGTCAATTGACCTCATTTTAAAGTGTAACAGAAGATTTTGAGACAATAAAGGTGTATGATTATTAATACTGTCCTTCCTACTTTGTAAATGAAATAGCTTATTTAGGCAAAACATTAGAACGCCATACTCAAATCATGTTTTACCTGAGACAAGGCAAATTTACATAAAAATTGATAAAAGCATTACATTCCTTCAATAAAAGCCAACATTAAATACCAAAATATCCAGTAATAAAATTCAAAAGCATCATCATAAGTCGTAATAGTATGTTGTTCGGAGATGCTGAATAAGTCCAATTTTAAGCTTGTCAAATTAAATTATGTCGTGGTTTTCCCGTAGCCGACATTGCATAAAAAACGGGATTATCTAGGTTGCCCCGCTGGTGTATCTGCCGTCTTGTTGTGCGAACAAATTTACGCTTGCTGGACGAAAGAAACCAATAATAGTTTGCCATTAGGCTCCCGTAAGTCGCACAGGCTAAACGAAGTGATCGATGATGACTAGGCTGACTTGGTCTCTTGCTTTCAAAAGCACTTATCTATAAGCAATCTTGTCTACGCCATCTACCTCAAACACATCGGCCTGTTGGCTGCTACAGAACACATAGGCTGTCGCTCCAAAACGCAAGCCTCCCCAAACTATTGGGATTAATTGTCTTGGAATACAAGACTAGTGAAATATTTGAGTACGGTAGACCTTTGACAAGTAGGCGAGAATGTTAAAGTGCAAGTCACATACAAGAGCAGATTGTTAGCGAAACAAATAATTCAACTATTCTTCCACATCAGTTTTGTCGTAGCTTAACATTTTATGGAATGATGCAAAAATAAGTGTCATGGCAGTTAACACTTCAGGGTATAGTAACAAATTAACTTCTTAATAAAGAAGTTAATTCAACCGTGAATTTAAAGCACACAATTATGGACGTTAAACAAGTGAAATCCATAAATTCGAACATTATTACTTTTGCTTGCTGTCCTTATTAGCACAAAGTTGCATGTTGTCAAAGCGCAGTTGGTACAACGAAAACTTAACTTAGTTTGCAGTTCTATGTTATTATTTACCAGTAAGTAAAGGAGATGAATTTCAATTCACTACAGCTATCAGTCAAATTTTATCATGAAATCAAGAAAAAACGGTGAACGCACCATCACCGAAACAGAAGATGAGTCCCAGCACCATGAAGACGGGATGGTAGTTGAAAACACAGGCAGAATCGGCCCAATCAAATCCATCATTGTAGTAGCCCATCCAAATAATGCACGTGACGACAGCAGCTAAGCCGAAAATCTATGACAGCGGGTACAAAGGGTAAGAAGGCTGCAACAAATTCGGCCTCTGACGTCCAGTTTTGACGTGAAGGCTTGATGAATTTAATCTGGTCTAGTGTGGATCGATGAGTTCATACTCGTGTTTTCAACGCAAGCTCCATTTCATCAGCCGGCCCTGCCAATTTCTCGAAGACGGAAGGCATGAAATCGACGCAGTCACAAGCAAACAGGTTATCAACGACACTCATAACCGGATGGTGTGTTATAGATATATAAATTTGTGGAGGGATGTTTGCTGCCGGTAAAAGTATCGAACGATAAAATACAGTAAAAAGATTAAAAACAACAGGTCTGAGGTAAAATTATTGCGCTAATGGAGACGTTGGCTTCAAAAAATAGGGTAAATAGCACAATCAGAAACAATACTTGGAAATTGAGTCTGAATGCTGAGTCGTGCCAAGTGCATGAAGTTTAATCGCAACCACATTTGAATCCTTTAAAGAACAAAATACTGAAATAATACACGCTTCATTTACATTAACGGACGCTATCTTTCTCTCAGTAGCCGTGACTGTGCTTCGTGTAAACAATTTAAATAAACAATCCAAGTAACACTGACATTCAGACAACTTGTGTTCAACATTCGGAGCTCTCGCATGTAATGTTTAGATTTTGAAGAGCAGGTGGGACTATTGCGTCAGTTACAAACACACCGACGAGCGGATTTCCCCAAAAGGCAAATTGCCAATCGGTCCGTTAGAACAAAACACGGAACATTAATCTCTTAAAATTTAGAGCTATACAAGTAAAGGTTCATTTAGCAACTAATATTAAGGGAAACAAACCTGTGCTATTACAATAAGCGGAATTATGGCCTTCGTTTTGGACGTTTCCTCGGAATCTGGTGGCTGATCCAACGAGTCATACGCGCGAAGATTCATCTCTCCTTGCACAATACCAACCTGAAGGAGTAGAATCTGGTTACCTCAAAAAGATACTGGTAGATGAAGCGACAAGCACGTTGCAATGTAGAAAGAAAGTGGAAGCAGAGTGGGAGTGGGTGAGAACTAGATATAAAATTGGTGCGTGCTCATTGGTTGGTCACAAGGAAACGCTCATTGGCTGGAGTCGACATCCCTCTTGGACAAACCTGAAAACCGAACCTATGGGACGTGGGAGGAGAGCAAGTGCTTACAAATAGAGCGGGATGTATTGCCGCTTTATTGACTAACTACAGCAGGCAAAGAAATTTACGTTACTGGAACAAAAATTTGTCTACTTAGGGAGCAGAACATTAAACAAAAGATTTCTCAGGAAAGCAGTTGATATTAAGGGTACTAGAATACGGATTTAGGGGGAATAGCAATTAGAGTTAGACAGACGGATGAATCCATGCTTCGGATGCTTATAATGTGTTCGAAAACTGCACAGACGTTGCCATTATTGTTTCCACTTAAGACACTGAAAACCTAACCTTACCTACATACCCGTTGATTCACCAGATCATACTTATAGCAAAAAGCAAACGATTTTGTTAATAAAAATCCAAGAAAAACATATCATTATTTTGATTCATAAACAAGGCTTAAAACGCACATAACTTAACAAGACTACACTCAAATGAACCTAGTGCGGATTGAATTGTCGTGACATGAGTAAAGACAAAATTCTGCTTTTAAGCACATCTGAGAAGGTCACACTGAAGATGTGCCAACCAAATTAGAGTGCAATACCACAACCGCTCTAACGAAATTTATTCTCTTTATCTACTGGGTAACAGCGTCAGTAACGCAAACCAATGGCGAATGACCTAAAAGAGCACATAGCTTAACGAACAACACATTCAAGGGCTCAGATCGAATTTTTCACACAGTAAACCACAGACATTGTTTGTAATAAGGAGCACATCGAAAATTTGATAATAACAATGAATGTCATATGGAGAAATTTAAGGTTAGAATAAGTTAAACATTTTGCAACGGAGTCATTTAATGACCAGATAACCAAATTCAGCAGCCCATAAGGCCGCGTAAAATTTAATCAACTCCAATTTATTAGATATTTAGAGTCCAGAAAGTAAATTCGCTCAAATTAGACTGTCTGCGAGTCACTTTATTATAAGCGACAAATGTTCGGCCAGATATCAGAACTTAAATATCTATGTCAATTTTGTTTGAGAAGCATGATAAGTAGGGCCCAATTTAGTAATGATTGCAGCCACACCAATCAGGGCAAAAAATACTAATTACCGTGGATCTCAGTAAATCAGTCAAAGATATTAGCTGTATTTCAACATAATAAAATCATATTCCACTAGGTTTAGTCCACACCACGGGCTAATTAACTACGCATTAATCTCCAAACACTTAGTCGGCATTTCAGTCAGGTAGAGGGGTATTTAGTCATACCCAAGAATTCTATCACATGCTAAAACTATTAGGAATCATGAACAAAGGGTATACTGAAATCGGAATACTAGAAAATCGTGAAGGGTGCGCAACAGGCTTAGCGTTGCAAAAGCTAATATTTGACATGTCATCTCAAAAGCATCGGCAGCATGTATAATTAAGATAAGACAATTCACGCCTGTCCAGATTTGGACGACATTTGGTGCGAATTGCGTAAATCATCAAGCAAACATACGTGCTTCCTTAATTATGCTTAACATATCCATTAACATAGGCATAATATGCGTCTAAAAGAGGTTTTTATCGGTTTTTAGCATTCCGATGATAAAAAAAACATTTAATTCTCAATGCTTGCACCACTCAATTGTTGTTTACAAAGAACGCTTGTTAAAGGAGATTAAACTCTTAACATCGAGGAGATGGCCAAGGATAGGATGGTTTTTATGTGCATCTAATACTTCATACGCATATTTTCAGAAGCGATAATAACAGAATACAATTGAAAATAATGACCACGTTAGCCATATAAAAATAACCGGAGCTATCACCATTAGCGGGATTAAGATGCATGTGGAGTTACTCGTGCTTTGAAAAGACGAATGGGAAGACTAATCAAAATTCACTATTGAACTGAAATACACGCATGCTTATGAAGCGGACGCAGAGCGGCAATGGTTCATAGGTTGCAAACGTTAAAAGTCGGTTAATAGACAAAACGAAAACGCAAATAACTATTACACATGGTAGTTCCCTTCAATTAACATGAATATGGTCAGCAAGGAAATTTAATAAAAACGCAAATGTCTTCAAATTCAGTAGAGCAAACAAATACTGATCATGGTGACGAGAGAGCTGAAACTTTTTAAAAAATCCCAAAGTGGTATACTGCATCGCATTTAACCAAAAATTAAGCCCAAGTGTCTCTAATTAACAAAGAGAATGAAATTACAGTTTCGTACCACCCGAATGATAAATGTAGTGCTCTACAATACAGACACAATAATTAGGGCTTCCTCATCACTTTTGCATAAGTAACAAAAAACCTGGCCAATGAATAATTTCCAAAGTAACAACTAGATGACGTAGACGCGGAGCGCCTTTCGAGTTATTGAAATAATCAGGATACCAGCGTAAGATTTCTTTGAAAGGCACTTGGTGCCACCATACAAGGACCACTCATTATAATTGTTTAAGAATATTTGTGGGTTCAAATAATATGAATGATTTGGTTATTGACAATTAGGAGGTTTTAAACTGACATAATGTCCTTTATAAGCACAGTTTAAGCTTAAATTACATTTACACTTCTTCATTTTTTTGTGTTAATGCGAAATCCATTTTGCCTGCGAAAAACAAATCTTGTGGAATTAAAAAATATCCTGGATGGCTGTTAACAGAAATTGAAAATTGGGAACACAAGAGATAAGACATTGCATATGGCCCATTTGTGGGTGAAGCATGAAAGCTGAGAAAACTTGACACCTTACATAATTTCATTTTTATTCGGAGTGTGAACAAGTGAGCGAAGTCATAAAAAACGTCATCATCCAATGTTAAGCTTTCCACGACTAAAACCCCTCAAAAGTTATCAATGCAAAGAAGATATCAAAAAAATTATCAGTAAATTAACTGAATCTACCTAATAACAGGGGCTATTTATTTCCTTACTCACAAATTATTGCTATAAAGCAATCACATACGCTCGACTGACTCATCTCAAACAAAACCGCAATACAGTCAAATTAGTAAATACCCGGAAGGTCACTGACCTTAACTTATATAAACATAGATAATCAATGCTATTTCACTATAAGCTCAAATTTTCAAATTTGTTTAAAAATTTGCATAATCTGTTAACTTTTGCTATATAATTTAGTAATTAATCGCTTTTGTTTTTTTCCGACAAATACACTTCTTTTAAAGAACACTTTTCAGCGTATCTCTAATCAGAAATAGACTGTAGTTTGCGTTAGATCTCACAATTTTACTGAAATTAATTGCCACTACTTATTTAAAAATGTAGTGTTCTAACGAATCTTCGCTGAACCGCGCAACTCGATTGAATCCTAAAGTAGGCTTTTTCGTATTCTGTTGTATTTGCTGACTTGGTTGTTTGCTCCAATGAGTCATATTGGTTTACTGCATTCCCTGTTAAAAGAATTACAGCGAACTTGTAGGCATCCTAAGGTACTCAACTACTTCCGCAATTTTTTGTTTTACATAGAAATTTTTTCGAAGTCCATTTTGCGAGTACATCGTCTTTCAATTCCGTTACTTTAAGTTAACTTCTGAACAACAGTGTGCAGCAAAACATGAAGGTCTTCAGTTAGCTAGAACCTATCTGACACTCCTTAAAAACGTCTCAAATCATCGCGTAAGCGTCGCCTGTTTTGTTTTGTATATTCAAATTTTAAAAACTATCTATAGGCATCATACTCTATCTTGTGCATTCATTTTTTCTCAAGATAACGTACGCATTCAGCTATTGAATTAGAAACTTATACCATCACTACATCAATCTCGTCGCCGTTTAGATACCTTATACGCAACCTTTCAGCTGCCAACCTTGTTTTCCTTCTATGATTATTACTTGGAATTTCCTCTTATTTTTTTGAGAATTTAACTAGTTTGTACACTTCCTGATTTTTCTTTTAGCACCTTGTTGCTAGTTACAGGTGCCGCCAGAAGACGACGTCAGAGACCGCGAACCTAGTCGGCCTTTCCCCTCCTCAGGCATATTCAGGCTAAAAGCAGTCTAACGAAATTTCGATTGTCTTCAAAAATGGTTTCTATGCCAATATATATTCTCCCTGATGTCCTATTCCCTCCATTTGCACTTCTTGTATTTATTTGTGAAAACCGAGGTAGCTATTGGTTGAGCCCTTTGTACTTTTCGTATGTCAATCGTCCATTTGTATGAAATATGGAATCTGAGTCACTCGTAACCTTTAAAATAGTTCACTTTAAGCAACAAACTTGAACTAGATTTCCTACTTTTTTTCAGGGGGCAAGTGTGGGGTAGGCACATTTGTGACCTGGTGGAGAGAGTTCCGATCAATTCGTAGGCGTCATCTTGATGCTGTATCAGCCCAGCTTCACACCGGTAGTGTTTCTGTCTAGAAGATGTTGATCTAACTTTTGGCCTGTTAACCAGCCACTCTGTCTATTCTAACTTGTTATACCAATGTCTTTTAATATTTTTTCTCGGGCAGGTTTTCAATCCCCGTACCTTTAAGCTATGATTTCCTCTACATTAAACTCTGCCGTTGAAAATGACCTTCCGAGTACTTTCACATCGCTTCTGCCGCCGGCCCATTTGTTGACTTTTTAGCACTAATTGAACATGATTCCACTCCTGCCTCGTATAATTCTTGTCTTGGAAATTGTGAGACCAAATATGGGGGCTTAAATGCTAAATTCCAGGATAAGAGCCGATCTTGCTCTCGTTGATCCTATTTTTGCTCAAGATTCCTAATAGTATGCCAGTTAATTCATAAGTCACTTCGGCTGTCTTTAAGGCCGATGCGAGGCCT